TTTCTTACGGGTGGCGTGGTGACAACTGCTTCCACCAAACGACATCTGAAGATAAAACCAATAAATAAATATTAGTCAGGAAAACATTAACTACTACATGTCAAAATAAAAGGTAAAAAACACAGCTTTTAACCTTAAACCAGTCGGTGTAGGAGGAGAAGATTGCTGGCCCTTCTAGCGCCCCCTGGCGAGCCAATAGAAAGGCTGTTATCATGTGCTCCAAGTCATAGCCTTCAAAGGCGGAGGTCAGCAGAGTAGACAACAGCTCTGAACGAGGAACAGAAGAGAACCAGGGGTCAAGTGATGATGACAGCTGATAAAATAAAAGAAAGAAATCGATATATCGTCTCCTGAAACAACTAGGACAAAGGTGCTAAAAATTAGGCCTGAATTAGGAGCACGTGGTCACACGGCTGTGTGGTCACACGGAGATGCTGACCTCTGAGGCTGGACTGAGTGCAGGGGTCGTAAACCAGCAGCGTGGACAGGAAGCTCAGGACGTGTTTCCAGTTGACCTCGTGTGTTTCCAGGACCTGCTGCAGGTGATGAAGGAGCTGCTGAGAGCTGAAGGTCATGGACATCTGAGGCACAACATGAGGGGCGCAGACAAAAAGACCAACATCAGTAGAGAGGAAGTCACATTCCCAAAATCCTTATCCAGGACTTAACCATTTCCTTGACAGGATTTTCCAGGACTTTATGTTTTCAATGACTAGAAAACTGGTCCTTGATTTTCCAGAACCCTTTGATCTGACATCATCTGCTGTGTTTTGAAGTGATGGACGCAGCACAGGCGAAAACCAATGATACGTGTGACATCACCAACCTTGCAGAAAAGCGAGGTCAACAGGCGGCTGGACTTGGCAAACGTCCACTGGTTCTGCTGAGACACTGCGTCTGACACTGAGGGAAGAAGAAGACAGTTTCCTTGGATTAGACTGGCTGTCACAGCTACGACAGATCCATGAATCAGCCAATCAGGGAGCAGCTGATTTTACCAGTAAGTCCAGGTTTGTAGGTCAGAGTCTGTGTGAGTGAGTGAGTGAAGAAACGCTGCACAGCTTCAGTCGACGCTGACACTGCACCACTGACCCAATGGTCAAACATCTGAATCCTGGAGGAAACACACAAAGAAAGTGATGTCATCAGTGAAAGTAAATTAAAATTTCTTTTATAAAGAAAAAAAAAGAATAAAATGAAACAGAACCACAGCTCAGGTCCAGGAGTTTTCAGATCCACTTGGCCCAGTACCCCTTAAAAAGTAAGAGAGTGTTAGTGAGTGACTGAGTTAGTGACTGAGTTAGTGGGTGACTGAGTTAGTTGTGCGTGTTGTGTGTGCAGACTCACAGAACAGCATGCTGTCCAGGATACAGCAGCAGATCGTTGACACCTGTGTTGACACTTGTTTCTCTGCTGCAGTTTTTTCTCTGCTCTGGTCAAAACCAGTTTCCACTAAAACTCCCAGCAACTCTGAAACACATCAAACACATTTCTAAATACTGGAATCTCACGGGTGAAAAACAAGTCGTAAACATTGTTGTAGAAGAAAGATGAAGACAGGAGTGGCGAAGGAGACTAGGTCTCGTACTGGACAACACTTGATGCTGAATGACTCTGGTCTCGTCTTCAGTCTGAGGAGGAGTCCAGCAGCAAAGGGACTGGAGCTGAGAAACCCACCACTGTCTGACTCCTTCATCACTGAGGAGGGGGAGAAGTGGTTATCAACAAAGCCGTACGTTTAAAGAGAGGATCAGCCTCAGATGTTTCACCTCAGGAGGACGTAGTTGACAGAGAGGAGGTCAAAAATGTGAAGATGGTATAAAAGCTCCAGACTGGGCCGCTTCTGTGGAAAGATGTGACATCATCATCATCATGATCGGTCAAACTTGGATTCTATAAAGACTGAAACGATCAACACAGACTCTGAGACACTGAACTGAATCACTGGACTTAAAGTCAGTAACAAATGTTTCTGGGATGAAGTTTAAATGTTTGAATTTAACAGAAAAAAAAACTATCTGCTGAAACATGAGGTTGGCTCTGGGTCAGAGCCTGTTACAATGATACCAGGTACAATGCTGTTTGGAGTTAATAATTAAGTGTGTGAACAACCCCCCCGCACACCCAAACACACACACACACACACACACACACACACACACACACACACACACACCTGCTCTCTCCTGTACTCCTGCCACAGCAGTTCAGCACAGAAGACGCCCTGGGACTTCAGCCCTCTGCTGGACTCCAGCAGGACACACAGCTGCAGCTGCAGACCAAAGCAAAGGCCAAAGGTCAAACAGGATGAATGACAGCATCTGCCTTTAACTCACAGTCGCCACCCTGTGGTCATTTCTTTTAAAACCAGAGGAAGGAGGATAACTTTGACCTTTTGCATATTTTACAACACTGACAGAGCAGTGGAGGGAGGAGGGAGGGAGTGTGAGGCATGAGAACATCGGTACTGAACAGTTTTATATCAAAGGAGCAGAAGTGAGTGAAACTTTACACAATCAAGGAAGTAAACAAAAGAATCATCATTATTAAAAATGCTTCATTCTATCACTCTACTGACTCTTTGAGGGGGGGTGAGCATCTGTCGCCCCCCGTCCTCATCCTCTGCAGCTGTGATGATCTTCATCAGCCGCTCCATCACCATCTTCACCGACACCACTGTCACCGGGACCCCCAGCTGTTCAGCCTGGTTCCTCAGCTCACCTGCTGCACGTGAAGAAGAATATGAGAAAATATGAAAACGACGTTATTGACCCTGCGTTACACAGGGACTGTGTTGGTGTGGTGATGTGGTTTGTCATGTGACCTGGAGGTGGTGAACTGACTACAGACTCACCCAGCAGTGACCCAGCACTGACAGAGGGAGAACCAGCAGATGCTGCTGACCTCTGCTCTTTGCTCTGACCCCCCCGACCCCTGCTCTGGTTCAGGTTCTAGGTGTGAAACAAACAGTGACGTGTGTTGGGGTGAAACGCTGACACAGTCGGAGACACAGTCAGCAGTAATAACTGTTGGACATGTTTCCATCAGGAACCTCAAACTGAGCTTTCACACAGAAAACCACTGCTCACTAGGACACCTTCTCACCTCTACCTCCCGGAGCAGACTGCCGACGTCCTGATGCTGCTGCAGCAGCCGAATCGCTGCTTCCTGTAGCTGTTGACCGTCCTCCACTTTTGGTCTTTTCACCACACGACCAGCTGAGAAGACAACAAAATATGTGACGCTTGTACTGTGTTAAAAATAAATAAATGATCTGGTGAATGTTCGTGTCTACTGGTGTTAATGTTCGTGTGTACTGGTGTTAATATTCGTGTCGGTCTGTGTAGAATGGTGAAGAATTTAGTTTTGAAGTTTACTTTATGAATTGAAGAACCCGTGAAGGTGTGCTGAACGACCGACAACAACTCACCGAGGAGACTGGACACAGTTCTCTCCGGACAGACTGACCGACAGGACGCGTTCACTGACATCTTGTCTTCAACTGACAGCGTCTTCGCCGATGACAGTAGACTCTAAAGCAACAAACACGACACTTTCCACGGGTTGACTCGGTCTGTGAGGTTTAAACCGATCACCGTCGTCAACTATTTACTGCTATCCTTCCATGTCCTCCATCTTGATACCCGCGCTCTTCTCTTTCATTGGTCAGTTCGACAGCTAATCAGAATACCGCTTTTTGCAGTATGGGCGGAACATAAACTATACCGGAAGTTTGAAATGCGGAAATGGTTTCGGCGTTACATTAAAAATGCAATAAACAAATGCACCACTTGAAGCTAAAATAAAAATGGATCCGCGGTTAGAATAAGAAATAACATGTGTCACGTTAAAGACCGCTCTCTCGAAGATGTTTAACTACAAACTTTTGTAGTTTTTATAGTTATTTTATCAGCCATGACCATGAAGGGGCATGTTCGTGCCTGTTTGACAGAAACATTATATATAATCTTTTTCAGTCTCACTGGATTTTAAAAATAAAGCTGCATCAAACCTATTTACACCTGAGTCTGTTTTAAATTTGAACACTTGATCGTTTACAGTTGGATCAGAAAATACTAATTATTGTATTGTTAATGAATTGTTGAGTAGAGAAAAGCATGTAATGTGTTCTTTTTCATCAAACCCAGAAGTGACCTGAGCCTGGACCGTCTATCTTATACAACCACCTGATAGTTAGCTACAAGCCTACTGACTTACCTAACTTAGCCACCTGGTTAACAGTCTGTATACTGACTGACCTACTGATCTACTTTAACTCCTCATTCCTGGCTAAGTTTAGTTCAACTGGGGTGGGCAGGGCAGGGCAGGTCATCTCTCTGGCCTGACCTCAGCTGCCCCTCTGTCTTCCTGGACTTGCTGCAGAGGAATTGTTAGGAAGTCTGTCTCCACGGAGTGAGGCAGTGAAAGGAACTCATGAAAACTTGATGCGTTGTGGCCTCATGAATTTTTAACGTCCTGCTCTCTGTCTGGTCTGTTGTGTCAGGATGGTGTGGAGTGGAACTGTATACACACACACACACACACACACCAGCTGCAGAGTGCTGAACAGCAGCGCACCTGAAGGCATCACTACACAAACAGTGACCTTAAACTAGCTCTGCTTGTTCTTCTTAACTTGTGGCTCTCTCTCTTTGTGTGTGTGTGTGTGTGTGTGTGTGTGTGTGTGTGTGTGTGTGTGTGTGTGATCTTGTTTTCTCCGCTGATAATGAAAATTAAATGCCCACTCCCACCCTGGTCACACCCACACCAGTTGTGTGTGAAACAAAAGTGTCCTGTGACACAGAGAAAAGTGTGAATGAAGGAGAGAACAGAAGGAGGTCAGTGTGTGGGATGTGTGTGTGTGTGTGTGTGGGTGTGTGTGTGAGGCAGCCTCCTGAGCTACCGTATCAGTCAACAACACAAACAACAACAACAACAGCAGCAATGACTGTGAGGCTGAGTGGATGAGGATGAGGACCCAGTCTTGTGGCTCAAGTCCTGGTTCTGGGTCCTGATGTTGGTGTGCCAATCATTTAGGATATTTGTGTGGATCAGTGTGACTCCACAGGTCTTTGATGAAGCTGGACTGCTGTGTCCTCTGCGAGGACGAGGACAGTTCTGTCTCTGTTGGACCAGCTGTAACCAGTGACCCAGATCATCACAGCTGTGTTTAAAACTGATGAAGTTTTTGTTTCACCGTCAGAATTTTTTGCATTTGTGAAAAAAACAAAATCCCATAATCTCTTGTCATCTGTCAGAGAACAAACAAAGCAGATAAAACCTGAACCCTGTCCCCAGAACCAGGTCACTGACACCATGTTCTGATCAAATACAGAAACACCATCAGGGTTCTGTCGACTGGGCCTGATCTGTTTTATCAGCTGTTCAGTGGGACAGTCATGTAGAGAGCGGTTGGACGGTCAGGGTTTGACAGTGTTTGTTTGTTGTCAGTTCAGATCAGCTGTGGTTTTGTTCAAAGACTCATTTGCATTAAAACCGTTTTGACAGTTTGAGATGGAAAAGCCAAGAGTCACTGTGGAAAGAAAGAGAAAGAGAAAGAAAGAGAGAGAGAGATTGTGTGTGTGAGAGAGAGAACAAAGACTGTGGTCAGAGTGTTGTCAGGGTAAACAGGTCAACGACACACTGTCAGAGTTTAGTCTGATGGTTGATGATGCTTCATGACACAGACACACACACACGCACGCACACACACACACACACACACTCAGAGCGTGAAACAATCATGCAAGTATTAAAACCACTGCTTCTTACATCTCTGTGTAAGTCACACCCAAGAGTGAAAAAAACAGGAACATCACACACACACCCCCACCCATTCCCGTAAACAGACGACGTTCATGTGTTTCCCTGACTCACCTCTCAAACCAAAGTCCATAGAAAAAAAACAACATTTTTAGGAGCAGAACTGTGACAAACTCCTCAAATCTCCCACTTTCTGTCTGCGTTCTTGCTCTCATCACAAAACTTCATCTAACTCAGATCATCTGTGTTTCTGACACACATGTTGGTTCCTCTACCATCTGAACAAAGACCTCAGGAACCAGTAAATCTGCTTCAACAATTATTTTATTCATTTTTGTACTTCAGATCTTCTGTAATACTCACATCACAGACTTCACAATCAGTCATCAGTACTTTTAAAAACATCATGGACTTCCTGTTTGATTCCCTCCCAGAACCTCACCCGACCTTCGCCCACACCAGCGGCCGGACAGGGCTAAGACACGTGGACCTTTTGTAAACATGACGATACAAAGTTGTTGGGTTTTTTTTTTCAGTTTTTCAGGATTACAAAAAGTAATCTGGTAGAAAAATATCTTTCAGAGGTTTTTCACTTAGTAGGAATATTTACACATATCAGTACATCACAGTATAATCTGATTTAAAAGTACATCATGTAAAATTACCACAGAAAATGTGTCACCAGGGGGCGTAAAAGACCTTTGGTTTTCATGACAAATATGAAAACGAGAACAGAAGAATCACAGAAAAGGTGAGTTCACCGTCCGGTGTTGAAATGATAACAGTGAAGAGGAGGTCGATGATTGTTCGTCCACAGGTCGAAGAAGTTCAAAAACCTTAAAAACAACAACAGAAATGGAGCTACAATCAAGAGTCACTTCCTGGAACTGCGGCAGGGGCGGAGCAAAATCTGCGCTGGGCGTAGAATCCTAGAACAATGAGGAGCATTTCTGTGGTGCTGCTCAGCGCCACGATGAACGGCGCCTGCGATGCAAAGTCGGCCTCCACGCGCCGAAACGACAGCTGCATGACCGCCAACGCCAGCAGGCTGTTCTGGACGCCCACCTCGATGCTCACCGTCTTCATCTGGGGCGTGGCCAGGCCCGCCAGTCTGGCCAGGACGGCACCGACCACCAGTCCCAGCAAAGGCACCGTCACTCCCACTGCCACAATCTGAGGCCTCACGTTAGCCAAGATGGAGGCGCCCATTTGGTAGGCCATGAAGATGCCACCAGTGATGAGCACAAAGCTGAAGGGGCGAATGAGCGCCAACAGGACGCGGGTGAGGGCGGGTAGCCGCAGCTTGACCAACATGCCCAATGAGATGGGGATGGCGATGAACAGGAGTGTTCCCAGGATCTTTACAAAGGGCACGTGCAGCGCGGCGTGGACGCCCAGCAGGCGACCATACAGCGCAGACGACAGTGGCATGGCCGCCGCCGCCACCACCGTAGACACCAGGGTCATGGAGATGGCGAGGGTGACGTCCCCGCCCAGGAGCAGGCTGTAGAGGTAGCCACCACCGCCCCCTGGTGCTGAGCAGGTAATGACCAGACCCAGGGACAGAGCTTTGGGCAGCGAAGCTAGTCTGGACACGCAGTAGGCGTAGAGTGGCATCACCAGGAACTGCCCTAAAACCCCAAGGATCAGGGGGACCGGGCTCTTGAGAAGCCCCCGCAGCACCTCCACCTCCACCTTACACCCAAAGGCACACTTGTTGACGAAGATAAGCGGCAACAGTGCAAACAGCACGGGGTTCTCCGAGAAGTGGGAGAGGCCCCCGGACTGGATGAGCTGCGTCACCGGGTCGTCACTGTCGGGCGCCACCCTAATGGCATAGTCTGTCCTCTCCTCGATGAGGACTGGCGTTGAGTCCTGGTTCAGGTCCAGCAGCTGGATCTGCAGCTGGGCCCAGCCTGGTGACCCAGAACGGATGCTGATGATGTAGCTCCCAGCCGGACCTGAGTGGCCGCCATCGCTAACGTTGAGGATGGCAAGAACCTCTGGGTCTAAGGAACGGACTCGTACCGTCTGCTTCCAACTCTGGCGGCCCTTTCTGCTGGGCGCCGCCGTGCTCTGGTACTGACTGGAGATCACGATAACGCCGTTGGTGTTTTCTGGAAACTCAAACTCCTGAGAGGAACCGTCTCCAATCCTGATGTAGCTCCCAGATCCAGCAGCAGACCCTGGACCCAGGTCGGTCTTGTTCCTGCCCTCCGCTGTCAGATTCGCGGTGGCTCTAGCGCCACCTGTGAGCAGGAGCAGGCAGCAGATTGTCAGTGTGCTCCTCATGTTGGTGACAGGACACCGCACACACTCGCTTCTCCCCCCGCCTCTCCTGCGGCCTTACACTGCCGCAAGTCTCCTCCACAGCGTTGTACTCCTCATTCTAGTTTCCGGTTCGAATCGTCGGCGGCCCCCCCCCCCTCCTCTCCCCCCCCGCCTCTCCTGCGGCCTTACACTGCCGCAAGTCTCCTCCACACCGTTGTACTCCTCATTCTAGTTTCCGGTTCGAATCGTCGGCGGCCCCCCCCCCCTCCTCTCCCCCCCCGCCTCTCCTGCGGCCTTACACTGCCGCAAGTCTCCTCCACAGCGTTGTACTCCTCATTCTAGTTTCCGGTTCGAATCGTCGGCGGCCGCCGCCTCTTCGTCTTGTCTGATTCCCATTTTCTCGCAGCGTTTATACCGGAACCTAAACATCACCCCGCCCCGTCCCGCCCCGCCCTGCACGAGCGAAGTCGAGCGGAGCTGCGGACCCACAGCAGCAGCGACAGACAGCGGCAGTGGTCTCCCCAACTCACACGGCCCTGAGTCCGGCCTCTGTTTCACCGACTGCCCGTTGCTTCACTGACCGTGTTGAACAACTGAAACTCGGGCTCGTCTTCCGTGTCTCCCTTTGTCTTCGCGGTGACGTGAACGCGCAGCATCGTCTTATCTGCGGTTTCGAATGTCAAGCTTTCTGCAATCGCAGAATTGACAGACTTCCTGTCTGGTAGTTTCAAAACAAAAGCTTGTAGCTTATAGCGCGTCGTACGTTGTTTGAAATCAACCAATCAGGTGCATTAATAAGTGTAAAAGGCGAAATAATACGACCGAAATTGGACGAACGGAAGGAATAAAAACGTATAACCGCGCACGTAATGTATTTGTATTGTTGTGGGTTAATATGACGAGGTATGGTCGTAACCACAACTTAGTAGAAAACCACGAGCATTTGTTTCATAAAGATAAACGCTTTACTTCCTGTCTGACTCCCTGTAATGGACGGATCTTTGACAGAAATCTCCCGAATCCAGTGGGCGAGGAGGGGGGCAGGGGGGCGCGCGTCAGATGTGTTCAACCAATCAGCAAGGGGGAAGACCCTGACCGAGGATAGCGTCATGGTGGTGGTGGTGGTATCATACCCAAACACAGGATTGTGAAATACCTACATTAAGTAAACTACAGGTTTAAACAGTGTTGTCACGAGACAAGGGTGGGCGGAGTCACAAGACTGAAAACCGAAAGGAAATGTTTTAATCAGAATTATAATAATAACAGTTTAAAACAGTAACGGCAGCAGCAGTTATAGTAACAGTAACCTGACACCCGTTCTGTCTTTACAGTCCAAACAAACAGAGAAGCCACTCCACTGTAACTGTAAACCTCTGTCAGTGAGGCCAGACCGCAGTGACTTCTGATCCATCATCAGAGTAAATGGATCAGTCACATGAGTCCAAAGACATCGATCCACGGCCTGGGAGCCACAGTCAGGGAGAACAGCTGAGCAGACAACAACAGGACAGACGTCGGTCTGAAGAGAGAATCTTCAAAAGACCAAAGTCCATGGAGAAAATCGGTGATTTTTCTCTCTCCAATTACATTCTGTAAACATTTCAATAAAACTGTGGTTTATTTTGACGAAGGAAAGAAAACAAATCCAACTTCAAGAGAAAAGACTTTAATTTTCATTTATATTTACTGTATACTCACTTGTATAGATCTATACAAGCCCTAGGTGCTGCACATAAATAAACAATTAAACCTGTGTTAAACATCCACACCAGAAAACCTCAGGTTGGGGTTGATGCTCAACAGGAAGTGACCTGGTGAACAACAGACACGAGCTTCCTGATACAGCTACAGCATGAAAATAACTTCAACAACAGCTGATTCTCATCACATCAAACAGGAAGGGTTTCTTTGCAACTCCAAAAAACCGTCCTCAATCCGATGGGAACGTCAAGAACCACCGTGGTGTTAGTTAGAAAAACATTTTTCAGTTTGGTTTCCTTGTCCAGGAGATGGTCGAAGGTTTTTACATGTGGTTGACACAAAGATTCAAACATGTCTGCTGCTCTTCATGTACCCACTGAAGACTGAACCACACACCCTCATACCAAAGTCCAGAGAGAAAACCAGTGATTTTAGCTCCCAAGGACAGAGTGTGTTTATCCTTGACAATGTTAAAATGTCCCTCACTCCGTTAACCTCAGGTCATACATTTCTTAAAACAAACTCAGGATAAATGACATCTGCAGAGACAAACTAGAATTGTTCAGGCACTGATCAGACATGAAGCACCAACACCTGCAGCACAATAGAAGGCATTCAAAACCAAAGACACATTCAGGCACAAAAACAAATCAGCAACAGGAATAAATCAAGAAAACAATCAGGACAGTGTGTTTGGGAGAAACATCGACGACCGGACACATCTGTCAGTGTTGGTGAACAAACGTCCGAAAATGTCTGCTGTGTCCTGACGACCATCGACTCCACGCTGGTCATACGTCAGTGACAAGGACAGAGCTAGTGTTGGAGGGTTGAGACCTGCAGGACTTAGAGCTGCTCTTCATGAAGAGTGGCATTAGCTTCAGGTGAGCTAACTAAGCTAATCTACCCACTGGTGCAGGTTAGAGTTTGTTAACTAGTGTTTGTTAACCTGTGACCAAACCTAAACCAGCAGCTGTTCTGTTCTTTATCTAATTGATTGGTGTGAAGTAATGAAAAGAATTTTATTTTCCTTCTTTCACTCTGTCACTGGTTCAGTTTATAAAATAAATATTCTGCAGATCAGTCACTGGACTGAACTGGAAAGAGAGAAAGAGAGAGAAAGAAAGAGAAAGAGAGAGAGAAAGATAATTAAGTTTTTATGGTAGGAATAGTTCCACACACACACACACACACACAGCTCCAGTCGTCCGAGTCCAAACAGCCATGATGCTCCGGTGCCTGGTTGCTGTGGAGAACCTCAGTTCCGTAGAGCTGCTAACCTGGAGGAGAAGGAGAAGGAGGAGAGCCGACGTCAGTGACTGAGGTTCTGTCTCATCAACTCTGACGTTCTGGTCTGACTGGACTTCCAGGTCTGCAGGGACCAGTGGTTCTGGACCTGCCCACCCACCGTCGGGACAGCAGGTCCTCCTTGTCTTGGATGCGGGAGCTCTCGGCGCCCACGGACGTGGCTCCGGCAGGCAGCTGGTTCAGCTGGTCCATCAGCTCCAGTCCGCTCTGCTCGGCGATCTGATGGATGAGGTCGTCCACCTGATCCTGGGGCGTGGTCAGAGTCATGGCTGCGCCCATGGAGTCCTCCATCACCTGGGGGAAGACAGAGACAGAACCACAATCAGAACCAGAAATACTTCATTCAATCCTGTGGAGGAAATACTTGGTATAAGTATTACAAATACTCATATATACACATGTATATGTTGGGTCCATGTTCATAGCGTCACCAACGCTGACAACAGGTTCATGTGAGGACCAGCAGGTTTTACCATATGTTTCATCAACAACTTGAATTTCCTGTCAGACTCACTGAGGTGTGAACGTCCAGGTTCTGGACCTGACTTTCAAACTTGTCCATGACCGCTGAGACCTTCTGCAGGTCCATGGAGCCCAGAGCCTTGTCCAGAGCCTTGGTCACCTGACCCATACTTTTGGTCACCTGAGGGCAGAGAGATGGAAGCCTTCTTCATCTGTCACATGAATGAAGAAAGCTGACGTGTCAGCAGGTGGTGCAGACAGAGGCTCACCCCCTTCATGGTGACCGCCGTCTGGACCTTGGAGGCCACGGCGTCCACTCGTGACGCCATACGCAGCCAGTTCAGACCTTCATTCTTTTTCCTGATGGCGTTTTCAGCATAAACTCTGGCACAGTCCACGTTCTTCTGCTGCAGAGCCTATCAGAGACGAGACCTTCAGACACTGCCCTCTGCTGGCAGATGGGCTGCAGCAATAACATGGAAATGAACTAAACACTCACAATAAAATATTGTACGTTTCAGTAAATAATAAAGACTTAAACGATATGACGATCGGTTATCAATCAAATGAAATGATCTTGTATTTAATAAATAACTGACTTGTCATCGTGACCCAGCACACAACCAAAGGTGACCTCTGCGTGTCACTGATCACCTCACCTTCTTCACTTTGGCCTGTTCTTTTTCTGAGTCTTTCTCTGCCTTCTTGGCCAGTCGCTCCAGCTGCTTAGACGTAAACTGGGAACAAACATACGAAACAAACAATGTTGTCCTTCAAAAACAGTTTATACCTTCAGAAAGACCTGAAGTTACATCAAACTCAATGAGATTTACAGTCACAAACCTTGAATTGGAACAAAGTATCTGTAAAAAAAAACAACAAACAAAGTCAGGAATCTGCAGGTATAAATGTTAATGTTATGTTATAAAAAAGGAGTTTTACAGGACAAAATTAACAGGACAGTTGTGTGGCGGAGCTTCCTCTCGTTATAACCTTCATCTACAGTCTTACAGAACTGAATATTTGGATATAATATTATTTAATTTATGCAATGATTTTTATTGATTGATTTTATTTTTTAATTCTAAATTTAATTTCGGTGCATCACTCGTAAAAATCCTCCATTATTTTATTTATTTATTTATTTATAATTAAATTTATCGGTAGAATGAAATTCAAAATTTATATTAAAAAATTCAAAGCTTTGCGGCCACATAAAAACAGACTCAGTTAGAAAAACAGCTGATGATAACGAAGGACTCGGGAGGAAACATTAACGAACCACCAATAAAATCGCTGTTTGACGTAACAGTCGGTTTTCCGTGTAGAAAAACTACGTCACCGACTGAACTGTGTGAGTCATGGTTTAAAACTGAGGAAATGACAACTGGTTTGTCTGGAGGTGAAACATTAAAACACAGACACCGACGTTAGTGACGTTATTTAATAAACAGTAATAAAAACTAAAAACTAAATAAAAACTAAAGTCGAAGTCACATTAAATGTTTAATCACATTAAACCTGCCTGCACAGAAGACAGCAGTAAAAACCAGATCAGCTTTGACAGCGAAACCAATAACCGCCCATGCTAACAAGCTAGCATCGAGACTAACGTCTATATTTTTAACAGAAAGGAAAGTAAATGTGAATAAAACTGCAGCAGTGGAGGTGAAAACATCGACTCACCTTCCATCCTTAGACCGCGGTGTTTCAGATAAAAGGACTAAAACCTGATATTCCACCTTTTCACAAGACACTGTGATTTGTTTTGATAAAAAGTCGGAGGAATTCCACTTCCGTGTCTGAGGCACGGTCACGTGATCGAAAACGTTTGTCCCTTTATCTTCGTCAGTGATTTGCGGCACATTAGACGAGACAGAAGCACGCTACTGCCATCTATTGGTTGTTTCTAAATACACTAATCACGTTGTAAAATTGTTAAAAAAAGAACAAAAATATTTTTGTTTTGTTTTTTAACTTCATTTTCAAAGACTTATATTAATTTCCGTCTCTTTATTTTAGTTTTTACTATTTTATAGTTTGAAATACATTTTGTTTATTATCCTTTCTTTCTCTAACTTTATTATTATTATTATTATTATATTACTGCATCTTTACACACTATATAGTAAAACATAAAGTGTCTTTAATTACTTCAGTTAATGGATATCTGCTAACAAGATGTTGAATTTGAGTGTTTTATTTCAGTATGTGTGTATCTGTATCACACACACCGTATATAAGTATATAATTATTATTAAAAATGTCAATAAATTGCATATATTACTACCATCCAGACTTCATACACACATGCTGTAACAAAAGCCTGCGTCCTCATTCGCCCTTTAAATCCATCAATGCCAGGATTAGTGTGTGTAACATCCAGACAGAGCAGATCACACACACACACACACACACACACACTTCACTTGAAGAAGGAGCCCTGATCACATTTTCTCCTTTGTTGTCTACAGGACTCACATTCATTGGGATATTATTCTGACATGGTGATTGTGTGTGTGTACACACACGCAGACAAGTGTGTGTGTGTGTGTGTGTCAGACATGACACCCAGGGATGTGGTGACTGAGGACTGATGGGGTCCACAGTGAGTCAGCGAGACACAGCCGAGGAGAATCCAGGTGAGAATGAACCACACAAGACTTACAGACAAATCATCAGACATCAACGACTTGAACTTAGTGAACTTATCAACAACTGGACTTTGGTCTGAACTAAAATCACTGATTTTCTCTGTGGACTTTGGTGTGGAAGGAGACAAACCTCTTAATTAATTCGTGTCTAGTTGCCTAACAGAACTTTTCAACCTTGACCATGACCTGGATGACTGAGAATCTTCACAGACATTAGTTAGAACACTGTGGTTCTGTTGGATATGTTGTTTGGAGATGTGACTGTCAACCATAAAGGTATAAAGTCCAGTTTAAATGTCAGACCAGAGCAGTGGATCACAGATTTAGCTGTTCTTTCTAAATTATGAATAAATAAAAAAAATATCTGGTATTTTTTTGAAACAACAAAATTCACACTGACATTTTGCAGGACAATTAGTCAGATGTAGACACAGCACTAATGCTATTAGGAAATTAGAACAATCCAATTTAAAACAGCTGTCATCGACACACACACACACATTGATGTTCACAAGAAGGAACAGGAACATGTTACTGACCAGTTTCATCTGTTCAGGACGACAAACCTTCAATGTTCACAAAAATAAAATTAATATGAAGATCCTGGTCCGGACCTCAGAGTCCTGGACCATGAACATCTGGAGGTTCTCCAGAGAAGACTGGACTGTGGTACCAGCAGAGAATGAAACCAGAACCACAGCAGTCTGTTCTTCAGTAACCAGGAAACAGAACCGACTGTCTGTAGAGTTTGGTCAAATGTTTTGTTGACGTTTACAAAGTTGAGAGAATCTGTAGAAAGACATCAGTAAATATATATTTATAAATATATAAATAACCCTTCAGTTGGTCAGAGACCGACCGACTCCTCTGTCTGTTTCTTGTCCTTGTCACAGACGGTCAGTGTCCTTCGTCTCAGTCTGGTTCTTCTTCTTGTCCGCCCGTCATCCTGGTCACTGCTCCGTCACGTGACAACATCTACGCCTCCGACTCCAAACTCACCATCGCTGATGCTGTCAAAGAACAAAGGCCGACGTCCAGACCCATCGTGGTGGGCAGGAGGTTCTGCAAGAAGTGATTCCAGTCAGGTGAGACCACCAGACCAGATCACAGGTCCTTTCAAAATAAAGTTCAATCTGATCTGATCTAAAAAGCCACACTGAGAAATAATGTTAAAAAATGTAAGAACAAACCCCACCAGGGGTCAACGGGAACTGCAGCAGTGAAGGGAGACGGTGGTTCGTCCAAAAACAGATGTTCTTCAGGTTCTTCCTCCCACACACACAAAACACAGACTAGATCAACCGTTCACCCTAAACGGACCACAGGTGTGAATGTGTGTGTGAATGGTTTAAAATGTGACGCTGCGATGACTGCTGGGATCAGCAGCGGATGAACTGAAGACTCACAAATAAATGACATCAACACTTTACCAGTAGGCGGCGATAATCCGTCAGGACGGTGTGCATCATCGGTAGATAGAACAGAAGGAGAGAGGGCGGGGCTGAAACATCAACAAGATGGCGGCGCCCACTGTATAAAACAACAGCTGGTGGTTTTTCTTCAAATCTTTGTATTTAGTTCGTTGACTTTCTTCAACAATGGAAACAACCACCGAAGAAGAACGGGACCTTATAAAACTGAAGTCTGTCAAAGACAATAAGACATTTGTTGTCCCTCAGAACGACAGAGTAAGAACAACGAACACGATGTTATTATTTCCAATAATGATTTTTTAATAAATCGTTTTTTTTCCCAATAATGATTTTTTAATAAATCGGTTTTTTTCCATGTCTGTAAATCTACACTGTATTGTTTATATATTTATGTAACTTCCGGTCTGTGGGTCTTTTTCAGTTCGGCAGCTGCAGAAGTGTCCGGGAGTTTGAGAAACTGAACCGAATCGGTGAAGGAACCTATGGCATCGTGTGTGAGTGACCGACACTAAAGTCTGGATTATCGATTAAACCGGAACTTTATGAACTTGTTTTTTTTCTCTCCGTAGCTAGTTTAAAAAATCGTAAGTTTTTCTAGCGCATGAACTGATGTGTTGCCACTGGTGTCAGAAATGAGTTACAGAATTAAAGAATATTTGCTTTGTTACTGCAGGATTAACTCTGTAGTAGGAGTGACAAGGGCTTGTACACAAGTTACTGGAACTGTTTCTCCAAATCAAACATTTAATTTGTATAATACTAATAATAAAGTAATAAAACATTTTTTAAGTAATAATAATAATTATTTAGTGGAGATTGACAGTGAAGACAGGGACTAAACCTGATCCTGATCCTGATCCTAGACCGAGCCCGGGACACAAAGTCAGACGAGATTGTAGCTCTGAAGAAGGTGAGGATGGACAAGGAGAAAGACGGTGAGTTGACGACCTGACCTCTGACCTCAGACATGGTGGACAGGATGTCCCTGACTGCTGGACTTTTCTGCCCTGCGCTGTGTCTGACAGGAATCCCCATCAGCAGCCTGAGGGAGATCACTCTGCTGCTGAGACTGCGACACCCCAACATCGTGGAGCTGAAGGAGGTGGTGGTGGGGACGCAGCTGGAGAGGTGACACCTGCGCGCACACACACACACACACACACACACACACACACACACACACACACCCATCCGGGGGGCTTTCGTTCTACCTTCTCTCTCTCTCTCTCTCAGCCTGTTCCTGGTGATGAGTTACTGTGAACAGGACTTGGCCAGTCTCCTGGAGAACATGCAGACCCCGTTCTCTGAGGCTCAGGTAAAAACAGTCCCTGGTTCCTCAGTGGCAGCTGTCGGTCTGTTGTTTGACATCCTCTCCGTCTTCAGGTCAAATGTATCGTCCTTCAGTTACTCAGAGGTTTGGAGTTCCTGCATCACAACTTCATCATCCACAGGTCTCACTCACACTCACACACACACACACACACACACACACACACATGTTCATGGTGGTCACTGTGGTCTGTGTCTTGTTCTCAGGGACCTGAAGGTTTCCAACCTGCTGATGACGGACAAAGGCTGCGTGAAGATCGGTCAGTCTCTGTCCGTCTCTGTCCGTCTGTCTCTCAGGTCTGATCGGTTCTCTTAGGAACTGTTGCTCACACCGTGTCTCTGCTTCTGTTCCAGCTGACTTTGGTCTGGCCAGAACCTACGGGGTTCCACAGCAGCCCATGACCCCCAGAGTGGTGACACTGTGGTCAGTCAGGGTGGTGTTCCCTGGATCCCCCGTCTCTGTGGACATCCGTCCGTCCATCACTGCCTCTGCTGTCACCTCCTCTCTGTCCTAATGTCCTCTCTGTCTCTCTGTCCATGTGCAGGTACCGGAGTCCAGAGCTCCTCCTGGGGACGAAGACTCAGACCACGGCTCTGGACATGTGGTCAGTTTCTGTTCATCTTTCAAATAAACCTGAGAAGAAAAAGTACCAAGAACTAGAGCAGCAGGAACAACAGTTCCAAAACGTTTTCTACTGCACCAGGAACAAGGATGGCACCAGGAACTGTTTTCTACCTTAGAAATAAGAACCAAAGAAACAGAAATGGTTCCTGGACATCCGTGTTCCTGGTACCAGCCAGTGGACACGTGTGCTCTGGTACTTTTTAATACTCACCAAAACCAGAGCAGGAAGTGAAGTGTGGTCTGCTCCACAGGGCCGTGGGCTGCATCCTGGCTGAGCTGCTGGCCCACAAACCCCTGCTGCCCGGAACCTCAGAGATCCAACAGGTGGACCTGATTGTCCAGCTGCTGGGGACGCCCAACGAGAACATCTGGCCGGTGAGGAACCTGGAACTGGAACTTCTGCTGACAGTGATGATGATGATGATGATGATGATGATGATGACCTGTGTGTGTGTGTCTGTCAGGGCTTCTCTCAGCTGCCTCTCATTGGTCAGTACAGTCTGAGGAAACAGCCGTACAACAACCTGAAGAACAAGTTCATGTGGCTCTCTGAGGCCGGTCACCGCCTGTTGAACCTCCTCTTTATGTTCAACCCAGAGCGCAGGTACACACACACACAGAGACACACACACACACACTCACCTGTTGGACCCAGTGATGACATCATTTCCTCCTGACACAGGGCGTCGGCCAAGGACTGTCTGGAAAGTTCCTACTTTAAGGAGAAACCACTGCGTGAGTCTCTGGTCTGGTCTGGTTCTGGTTCTGGAGTCTAGTCTGTCAGAACCGTCACAGACCAGAACCAGAACAGATTCTTTTTATCTGTCAGAACTTTCTCAAATAACTCTTTAGGAAGAATCGGTACCATTCATCTCCCTCTGTTTCTCCTTCACAGCCTGTGAACCGGAACTGATGCCCACTTTTCCACATCACCGCAACAAGCGCGCTGCTCCTCCAGTAGAGGGCCTCAGCAAACGCAGTAAAGTGTGACCGGAGGTTGATTCTCTGAATGAGTTCCTTTTGGACCTGATGCTGGACCTTTAAAGAAGACTTTTTTCGTTTTAAGAAACAGTTGGTACTTTTCTGTCTTTGCCCAAGGACACACGGGCATGTAGGTGAACTGACCCTGGAACTTGACCTTTGACCTTTAAGTCAAACAGAGAAGAGTGCAAGTGAGTTTGAAATGTCAGTTTTATTTGTTCAGCTTCAGTTAGTTTCAGGTACAGTGTCAAAGGCCGGCTGTTAACGATGGGCTGACAGGAAACGTCCGACTGTCGTCACGTCGGCCGACTGATGCTAACGCTGACTAAACAAAATGGGTTGGACTTCCTGTGGAAACGAGCCGGAGGTTTGTGTTCAAGTGTAAACGGACTGAAGCTAAAAATCACAGAGAATAAATATAAGGTTGAAGAAAAACACAGAGCATTCTGGGAAATGTAGTCCCAACAATACAGACACCACCGACTTTCTACGATTCATCGGAAAAAGTGCTTCATCATCAGGTCAGATTAGTCTTCAGGTTGGATTAGTCAGTGATCAGTGTTGATGTTTACAGAACTATGTACAGAAAGATGAAGATGAGGTTCAATACTGATCTGGGTGAGGAGGAGGAGGAGGAGGAGGAGAGTTGTAGAGGAGACGCACCAATAAAACATCGATACCAGAGTGCCGTGTCTTTAGTCTCCTCCAGTCTGAATGTTACTGGTTCAAAGTCCATGGAGAAAATCTGTGACTTTTTCCATCGACTCCGAGACAGAACTGAAGAACGGAACTTTTTCTTCACTTGATGTTCTATGAAATGTTGAGTCAGCAACGAAGCCGAAGAATTCACTGAACGACTCATAGATAAAACAACAATAACACACACACACACAACAAAAATGATTCATTAAAACATGAAAACACATTCACTCCCCCTCCCCCGTCTCTGTCCTTCATTTATTTACTGCCAAATTATAACAAAAAGTGCACGGTGGCAGTGAGACGTTCAGGAGCTTCAGTCAGAGTCAAAAAAAAAAAAACAACTCAGTCAGACTTCACCTGTTTGTTCTCCTACATGTGATGATGTGGAGTCTGGGAAGATGAGGAGAAGTGGAGCTGCTCCTGCGGTCGATGCAGTCGGAGGAGTTAAATAAAAACACTGGAGTTAAATCAAACGTTTCTTCTTTCTTTCTGCCTCGTTGTTTGTTTTGTGTCCACCAGGGGGTAGTAGAGCCCAGCAGTGGGCAGGGCAGAGATAAAGGAGGATGTCTACAAGAAGTGATGCAGCAGCAGAGGGAAGAATGAGGGAGGGGGAGAGGCAGCGCAGCAGACTGTGGGAGGGCGGAGCTTCCTGTCTCCCTCAGCCCTCCATCCCAAAGTCCTCTGTGAACTTCTTCACCTTGAGGAGGTCTTCAGTGTTGACGGTCGGACGAGTGGTGGAGAGAGAGCGCAGCATGTCGGCCTGAGAGGAGAGAGAGAGAAACAGGCTTTAGTGAATGTGTGAGGACACACTGTCCACCCATGTGTCCACCTGTCCAGATGTTGTCAAGACCTGGAGACCAGCCCAACAGACTGGCCGTGTGGTCACAGCCCTGTTCTTCTCACACACTGACCCAGTGTTTGGACCAGCTGACCATGAAGACTGTCAGCAGCTGGGAATCATGGGTAAACTAACAATCCTCAGTGACAGTCAGTCCAACATCATCTCCTGTGGTTCTCACCATGCAGACAATCGGTTCCAGCAGTTTATCACTGGGGACATCTATCCAGGTCATCTCCATGGCTGCAGGGTCACCAGGGGAGCATGGGGTCAAAAGGTCGTCTACTATCACCTGGTTGTTGCTCCTGGACGGGCCGCGAACCTGTGGGAGGAAAAACAAACAGAGGTGAGGGAGGACCAAACTGAAGGAACATGGTGACCTGGTACACTTTGACCTCTGACCTTTTTGAAGTGTGTTGCCGACTGGACCTTCCTGACCGGCTGCATCAGAGCATCCCGCACAATGATGCTAATGTCTGCTCCCGAGTAGCCGTCGGTTTTATGCGCCAGTTGCCGCAGGTCAGGCTCACTCAAGCTGTGGGGCGTGTTGCCCAGGTGGAGACGGAACATCTGGGCCCGGGCCGGTTCCTCGGGCAGAGGAATGTAGATGCGCTTCTCAAATCTGAACACGAGAAGGAGGAGGACGTTCACTTCTGACACACACAATTATTAGAAATGACACAAAGAGGGCGCTCAGGAGACTCCTCTTGAAATAGCTCAAAGCTAAGTAACACTAGCATATGTGCTAACAACAATGAAGTTATAGTATAGGAATAGTATTTGATAACTCATGTATCCAAACAGAGTGAATATATTAGCGTCACATCATGAGCTCAGTGGATGAAGTTGTTTTGAGAGAATGCCTTTGATGTTAGCATAGCATTGGTCGCACACATGTTCAACATTGTCCACTGTCAAGTTTTTTTCTGTCCAAAAAATGTTAACATAGATGAGACAGAGTGACGCGTGACCTCTGACCTCCTGCGGATGGCAGCGTCCAGCACCCACGGGATGTTGGTGGCTCCCAGAACCAGGATACCGTCGTTGTTGTTCCCCACGCCTGCAGAGACACAGAACATCAGGCTGATGTCCTACCCTCCCATCCACAGTCACGCTCACCCCCGTCCTCACTCCTGGTCTCACCCTGCATCTGGACCAGGAACTCCGTCTTGATGCGTCGAGCGGCCTCACTCTCGTTCTCGTTCCTGGAGCCGCACAGTGAGTCCACCTCGTCGATGAAGATGATGGAGGGCTTGTGTTGGCGAGCCAGGTCGAACAGGTTCTTCACCAACCTGAGACACAGGGGGAGACAGCGAGGCAGCTGGTCAGTCTGGTGATGAGGTTGGGGGGTGGGTTGAATGAATTCATCTCTGACTGGTCGTAAAGACATACTTCTCGCTCTCTCCCAGCCACTTGGACATGAGGTCAGAGGAGGAGACGGAGAAGAAGGTGGAGTTGTTGGCCTCCGTGGCCACGGCCTTGGCCAGGTACGACTTCCCTGTTCCTGGAGGACCGAACAAAAGGATTCCTCTCCACGGAGTCCGTTTGCCTTAAGAAGACAAAATGAATTAGAAAAGACTCAGCCATGCCTCCCCCTCCACACTGACGGTCTTGTTGAAGTCGTCTCACCTGTGAAGAGGTGAGGAAATTTAATGGGCAGGATGACGGCCTCCTTCAGGGCTTCTTTGGCTCCTTCCAGTCCGGCCACGTCATTCCACCGCACGTTGGGTTTCTTGATGAGGTTGGCACCTGCACACACACACACACACACACCAATAGAGATTTCCGATATTAGTGGTCACTGAACCTCAGCTGTTGCTGTTGACCTGTGTGAATATGTGGAGTTGAACCCACAACCCTTCAGGTGTAGGTCAAGTGCAGACTGAATGAATAAAGCTGACGTCCACTCACCCATGAGCTGCTCCTGGAGTTTCTTCTTCTCTGGGTTTTCTCCCTCACTGTCACTGTCGCTCCTGTTGTCACAAACACACAGGAAACAGTTTAAACCCCGCCCAGTCCAGCCCAGTCCAGTCCAGCCCAGCCCAGTCCAGTCCGGTCCAGTCCACAGTGAAGAGCCCTCAGGCTGTGATCATGTGACCACCTACTTGTCATTGCTCTGCGCCTCCTTGACCGGCTTCTTCCCCTGTTTGTCTTTGTTCTTCAGGTAGTCCTTCAGCTTCTCCGCTCGGTCCAGGTACTGCATGCACTTGGCCCGTATGCTCTCCTTGGCCTTGTCACTGTGGGCTTCATCTGTGGGCGGAACAACGTGAGGGAATGGATGGAGAGGTTATATTTATATGTATATTTACCTTTAGTTTGTATTCAGCACAAATTTGTTTTGCACTACTTATATATATATATATATATAGCCATATCTCAAACAGTTACTCATGGCATACAAGCTGTGTACTGTTTTTGTGTTTCTGTGCAATGACAATAAAGAAAGTCTAAGTCTAAATATAAGTTACTGCACAGAGGCGGGTACAGACAGTAGGGGGCAGTAGTGAGAGAGCGGCGCTCACATTTAATGGCATGGAGAAAATATTCCACCGAGTGCTGGTACAGCCGTAAAGCCTCCTCGTAGTTCTTCGCCTTGTCTTCTTCTGTGGCTTTGGTCACCAGATCAATGGCTTTCTGCAGAGAAGAGAACAGAGACCAGGCCTTTACAAATGTGTACCAGGTGGGGGTGCACCAGGCAAAATAAAAATATAATTGAACACAGCCTTTGTAATAAAATCTCTCTTTTTATATTTTTAATCAGCAACATTCACAGATTGGTACAAAGTCACAGTACAATTACACTGCTGGTCTGCACCAGGACTGGTGAAGCTAACGTTAGCCCTGGTGTCTGTACCAGGACTGGTGAAGCTAACGTTAGCCCTGGTGTCTGTACCAGGACTGGTGAAGCTAACGTTAGCCCTGGTGTCTGTACCAGGACTGGTGAAGCTAACGTTAGCCCTGGTGTCTGTACCAGGACTGGTGAAGCTAACGTTAACCTTTAGGGAATTTCTCCAATTATCATGTGGCAGTGGATGACCTTTGTCAAGAGAAGACTTGGAAATTTTGGATGTAAACGATAATCACAGAACAAAAGCTCTTAGACCATAAGGGTGTGTGTATATATATATGTATATACATATACATATATATGTGTATATATACACATATATATTTATATATGTATATATATATATATATATATAAAATAGATAAATAAATATATAAAATACATGACCATAACCCCAATTGAAATAGAACGAAATTGAAAAGCATAATTCAAATGGATAAATTAACCAGAATCCAAAGTAATTACATCTTCACTTGATCTTAAATTGTGACAAAAACAAATGAAGTTCGGGTTTCTTAGTATAATAGCAGTAGTTATGGCTCGTCTTCAAATGCAGATTATATACAAGGTGTTCAATAATTAGTTGATATTTTAATTGCGTATTTTATTGCGTGTTTACGGTTAAGATTTTTAATCTGCAGCGTTTCGCTGCTACTAATCCATCCAGTGTCGTTGTCTTATAAATATTTCAGTTTCTTTTAAGAACTACTTATCTATATTTATTTTATATGGAATATAAAACTAAAATTTCCAGACATTGCTGACAGACATTTTAATACCTCGTCTTGTCTCTTCTGTTTTCACCAATAGCTCTACTGCTAATCACTTAGCAGCTCGTCGAAGCTAACGTACCTGCAGTGTTGACGTTGTCATTTCATCTCACTTATTCTGCGACCTCTGCTCCAGATTATCAGTCTTCCACTGAAGTGAAAGTTCGAAGAGCCGAGTTCGTTAACAGAACCTTATTAATGCCGTTTTTATTTCAGGTAATAACATGACAAATAATAAACGCTAACAGCGTTAGCACATTAGCACCAGTGACAGATCACAGCTGTGAATGTATTTGTGTTGCTGCCCAACGAACAGCGCCCGGCAGCATAACTCTCGCCACCTGCTGGTGTGGAGTATAATCTACAGGGATTCAGAAAAAAATGGCAATAAAAGACCAAGATAAATCACCAGGATCTGAAACGTGATCACAGGAATAAAACCAGATAAAATAGAGAATATGAGGCCTTTGATCCTGTGAACCGAGTTAGAAAAACTTCTGTGGTTCATTTACAAACTGTAAACACCAGGGTCAATATGCTACTAGTAGATTTTAGACATGGATGTTTCTCTTAACTATTTTCCCTTTCATTCAGGTTCAGTTTTAGTAATCTTCTTTCACCTTTATCATTTTCTGACATTGTTTTACAGATTTGCCATTTTTATGAGTATTAACCATTTCTGGGTTTTTTTTCAAATTTTTTGTGCTGTTAGCTGTGTGCCAACAAAACCCATTTACAGCTAACATGTTTCTCTAGCCAAACATTCCTAAATGGAACCTGGCAGACACAGTGGTGCAGCGGTTTCAATCACGACCCTACAGGAGTCAGGGATGATGTGTAACAGTTTTATTTTGTGTCATATTTACAGCTTCTGCTATGATACAGGAACGGCTAATACTTTGCATATATGACAGACAGACAGGTCGTCGCAGCAGCAGCATCTGAAGTCAACTCTTTTTCCTACGATGATTGTGTCGGACGCAGGTTACAAACCTTTGGTTCACATAAAAAACATTTTTTAAAAGAAGCTCTTGCTTTGCATAGACAGGACAGTGGAACAGTTTAAGGAATGTGGGAACAAAGACATTTTTAAAAAGAATAAAGAGTAATAACAGAAGAGGAAGTGAGGTTTACATTCACAGGAAGTTCAACAGCTTAGTGCATCCAGCTTCAGAGGTCGGCATGGCTGAAAGACATGACCGTTAAAGAGAAGATGAAGAAATAACGAATCACCTCAGTGTCGCAGGTTTTAATGAGAGGCTTCGTATCTGATTGGGTTTGTTTGAATAACAGTCTTTACAGCAAGGACGGAAGAAAACGCCAGCCTCTAACCACAGACACGTTGATGGAAATCAGGACGATGAATTCTTAAAAACACGATCACATATGACTGTCATTCACTCACACCAAAGTTCATAGAGAAAATCAGTGATTTTAGCTCATTCTTTGTGTCTGTTTCTGCATGTACCTGATCATCTAATATACTGATGACTACAGGTTTAAATTGATGACGACGATAACAACAGGAATAAGAGACAATTAACAGTGAGAAAAAATGGAATGAGATAAAGGAAAAAGGATAACAAGGATTTTTTCTCCTTTTAACAGTATGTCAAGGTCAGGCTATTATGATGTACATTTTTATCAAATGTTTACAAGTACATAAGTATATAATACTATTGCTTGTGTATGCTTAAAGGAATAGTTTAGGTTATTAGAAAAGGGCTGTGTAAAAGAAACTAAAACTTAGCGCCCTCTTGTGCTTCAGGAAGGTGTGCTCTGATGGAGACAAAATAATAATTTGCCCCTAAACATAAAGTCAGCTTTGAACTTTTTAAAATGTTCACACATATTAACCTCAGTGTTAGAGAGACTTTACCAACAGGAAGCTGAAGTCCATGAAAAATACAAATAATAAAAACATTAACAAAACACTAGAGTTGTACTTCCACTGCTGCCTCTGTCAGTAAATCAAATGTGTTTGTTCCAAATGAACTTAGCGGATAAAACTGACCATAGGGGGCAGCAGTGGACCAGCAGCTCCTGAGTGTGTGTGACAGAGTGAGTGGTTTTAAAACTCAGTTTCCAGCTGTGAAAGTCTGTCTTACAGTGAGATAAACACATGTCATGACCTGTGTCTCCACAGGGGGCAAAACAACCTGATGGCCCTGTGTTTTCACCCACAGCCTTGGCGTCTCAGACTCAGACTGTGTCGGGTTCGTACAACAGCTGACTGCACTCCAAAAGTCTGAACTATCCCTTTAAAAGTAGATTCTCATATGAGACAGAATAAAAGGAAGAAATACATCACAGAAAGTTTTCAACTACACTTTGAAAAAAGGCACAGTCGGCAATCCTGATTACAATCGGATAATGTGCTTATTTCATACACACACACACACACACACACACACACACACACACACTCTATAGGCGTCAGACGCGTGTGAGTCCGACTGTTTTTGAACTGACAGGCATCAAGGAAACACAGTACACACTGAGGAAACGGTCCAAAAACACTTTTCCAAAAACTTTTCTTCTTCTTCTTCTCTGGTGTTGCTCAGCGCTGTGATGTCATGATGATGTCATGGCTTCATGGTCAAAGGGACAGTGACATCAGCACATTGTTAATACTGCAGACAGGACTGGAATTCTAACTGAAAACAAAGTGTCACCTGATTGGACGAGGAGAGTGGTGACTGAGGAGTGGGAGGAGGAGCTAAGTCTGTGACATCATCAATAACAGGAATGGTAGGATTAACGTGTGTCTGAGTAAAAAAAGTCACGCCGACTTCTTCTGAACCTCCACACCATGAAATAT